TTGTCATTGGATGGAATACTATGTTGGTAAAATTTATATTTTGAAGCTCATGTATTTTGTAATACAAACTCCGCCGTGTAAGTTTATCTTACATTGCCGGTCCCAAGCCCCGATAAAGGAGGAGGGGGAGGGCGTCAGGTAGTCGACAGCCGGCACTCCATGATTACGTCGAATCCTTATAAAATGTATTTTGTAATACAGTTGATCAATCAAAACACAAAATATATGATTACACATTTGAATGTCAAAATGTAAGTGGTAACATGTCTACAATTCTTTCCTTTTAGTCCTTCCAACTTTGTAGTAACATACTAACATGTGTATTGATCTCTTTTGTGATAAAATTGGAGAGGAAAAAAGTCTTGCTACTAAAGGTGGAGTAAGTTCTAGTGTAGATCACCTACTCCACCTCCGGTGACGAGTCCTTCTTCACCAACTCTGCTTATCCTCGAATTACAAGTAATGACTTTCTATAAACTTAGGGATAGGAAATGGCGCATTAGGTGTCTTCTTTGGGCTGTGTATATGGTTTCAATTGTCCAAAACCCTCGAAGCATTGTCTTCTACATCGGGCAACATCCTCTTTTGGTCTACTTGTGGGCACTTTCTTGCTTAAAACTCAGTTTACATGTTGATATTTTTTAAGGGACGATCAAAGTGTTCGATATATAAATTGTCTCGAGGCAGCTAAAGTAGGTAGATGGTGGTGTTATACGCTCCCACCAAAAAAATTCATGAATTCACAATTAGGTTAAGCTCGAAAAGCTACTTACTCAACTTTGACTCACGAATACGAATATTTACTCGGATTATAAATTTGTTAGAGTGCTAAGAATACCTCTCAATGTTTTGACGCATGTCTCTAATAATTTTGTGTCGTAAATACTAACAGTGTGTAACTTGATTCAAATGGTAAGCATACGAGATCAGTGGCCAACTTCAGTTTAAACACGACTCAAATGGTAATAAAATCAAGACTTAAACAAAACCCCCGGGATTGATTCTCGAAATCTAAATAATAGACACATAAAATAAAATAAAATAATAGATAGAGAGACAAACCCTGGAATTAATCAATTATCAATCTTTCTTGATTTGTCCTCTCACGAGGCCAATCCGAAATCATTGATGACACATCCCGACCTAAATCGAGGCATGTTGGCCGTCACGTGAGGGTGACGTAGCTATGTGTGCAGTTCGGAAAGACATTGATAAAACGAAATGCAAAGAAGATTTAAGTGTGAATACACACAATCAGAGCATAAATAGCCTAAGTGCAGTCCAGCATGACGAATATTAATTATACAACACCCAAAGGTGATCCTACATTGCTGATAATCTGTCAGAGCTGCCGTGAGTTCCTCGTAAGCTACCAACAAGCACTTCTACCTAAAACCTAGAGGGGCGCAAAACAAAAAGTGTGAGTGGGCAAAAACAAAGCTTTTCAAAACCATTTCACTTATCAAAAATATTAACCCCTCACCGTAAAACCTGTATAATTCCCAGCAAATAGCATACATGTAAATATATCCCAAAACCTTGTTTAAGATAGCAAATCCATAATCATGCTATGTCAAATATCTCAGCAAGGAAATAAGTAAGTCAGGTGAAATAAATCAATGTGAGATGGTATGCCAGCCGGAGTCACCTAACGTCACCTGTGCGGTTGATCTATAACTCATCAACTAGTTCTCTGCACACAAGTCGGAACCACCTAATGTGGTCTGTGCGACAAGCTGGCACCTGTCTTGGATCCAAGGTGAGCGTGTGATGCGGGAGGTGAACGATCACGTGAAGGCTAGGCCCTGTCCTCAAGCGAAGCACTAACACCGGGGTGCAGGATAGCCATCTCTAAATGCATCTTAACACAATTATTCACAACCATCACTACCATTAATATACTCACCTGAAGCTTACCTGGGCATCTGGCCACCTCTGTAACTCGCCAAAACTCAGCCTCCCGACATCCAAAACCTTTCAAAATCCTTCCCTAAGCTTCGTGAAGCAGTCCTAAGGCTCACTAGAACCTTAAAATTCAACGAAACGTCCACGATCACAAATGAGTCACTATGCACTACATCAGGGCTTCTTGATTCACGAGGTCACGACGTCCTCACGTCCAAACAAGAGTATGGATGAGTTCCTAAGCTCGCAAGGAGTACGAAAGTCACCTTCACAGCCTCGATCCGTGATTGAAAGGGTTGGTTTGGAAGTTGTCCGTACAATTGTATGGAAAATGGATGAAATCCGAGAGGGAAGAGAAAGAAAGGGTCAACGGGAGTATGTGGATGTGTGTGTGGTCCAGATTTGGGCAACCAAACAAAACAACCAAAAAGCTTAAGTTCCAATTGGGTCCAAAAAGTTAGGGAGAAAATGAATTGGTCCACATGTTGAGCCCATTTACACACACACAACTCAACGCTCAAGGGCAAAATGGTCATTTCACACCATCGAAAATATATTTCGGGACGGGCTGTCACAATTGAAGTCAAGCTTAAGCGCACAAAAATAAAATAAATAAAAAATCATTGAAGTCATGCCCATGTTGGATCTGATCTGACCCCCATGAGGCCACACATTGAGCATCATAATCATTTTAATAAAGAAAAAAATTAGCATAATCATTTTAATTACGAAAACACAAAGAATACTATGTTATTTCAATTGAGAAAAACTTCAACAGGACCTAACTTGTATCTAAATCGTATTGAGTGGAGACATATATAGCCATTGGAAACTTGACGAGTGTTCAACTTTTATTATGCGAAAATTTTCGGAGCTGATTAACAATCAACCTAAAAACAATCAACCTAAAACATCTCAAGCAAAGAAAAACGGGAGTAATACAAGTTGAACCAATATATATAAACAAACACAAGAATCTCTCATGCAATGTTCATAATATCAAATGCCACTTTAACTATTCAATACCTATTTCTTTCTTTCGTCTTTACACTAAATGATAGTACCAATTTTTATTTGTTATAAAAGAAAGAAGACAATTTTTCTTTGGATTATAATGAACCAATATGGCATATATATACACATTTCCAAAGAGTAGATCTTTCAGAAAATGCTATAAAAAATTTGCTGCATTATGGCAAACAACGAACCTCGTAATATCAACAAAATTAGGTAAACAATAATATAGTAGGAACATGGAAATTTGGGATTAATATTTGAAGCTTTGTAATGAGAAATCACATGTTGTGTCGTGGAATGTAGTTTCAGAAACTTGTCATTTAGTTTTATAAATAGATTTTTAAAGGGTGGGTACAAATATAATCCAGTGTACTTGCTTAAGTTCTGAGGGCCAAATATCCAAAGGCAAAAGGGGTCCTCAATCAATCTCATGAAGTGATGAGTCACTCCTCCTTAGTTATGAAGTCACATATTTCGAAATCGGTATGGCCCATACCCCATAGAGAAAATTGTCAGGAGACCAAATACATTGTAAAGGAAAAAGGGAGAATCAGACCCCATGCTCTCACCTACTGCCCCTTGAGGACACATCATGTGAGTCTTTTGCTCAAAACACTTGACCACATTCAAACTTTTATCAAATTGTTTCAAATTTGTCGATTCAATCTGTATAGAATCTGGTTTGACACTTCCTTCTTAAGGTATATCATCTTTTTTAAGGTAAAAGTGACTTATGCGATTGTTTCTTTCTGCTATATTACAGTGGTAAAATAGTTCAATTAAAAGATGACATGTGTTTAAATTTGATGAAGTTTTATGCATGTTTTTAATGTGTTTTATCGTTTGGTTGGACTATTTTACACTCGGAATAATCACAGCCTTGCAAAGTTTATATAGTTGTAGTGTTAATCCAACTATAATTTCTAACCAAAAGTCATTAGATCAATAGTTGTTTGATAATATTAGAATGTCTGATAAGAAAACTGCAATTAGTACATTTTTTCACACCGTCTGATTTGATCATGTGGCTATAAAACTATTTTATTTTCAAATAATGAAAATCTATCTCCTCCATCGAATAACCCGTGCATAACTACCTCCATGTTCACGTCCGTCCACCATCGTCCTCTACGACGCGGACCTCCGAGGCCAGACCTTATGCAATGTTTGTAGATATTGATTTGGTGCAGAAGAAAGAAATAAACAGAAGGGGGAGAGAGAGATTTTGACGAAGGTGGGAAGAAAGGTTGCCACCGCGGGTTGGCTGATGGGGGTTTGGGGCGGTGGCGAGCCTAAGTGGTTTCTTTTTCTTTTTAAATATTTTTTTATTTTATTTTTTGAAGTTTATAGTAGATCGACACGTGGGACAGTCCATCCACGCGTTGGAAAGATTTTTCATTGTGGTTAGAACACGTCCTGATAATAATACAATTAGTGAAAATTTTGAAAACAAAAATTCAAATCAATTACATTTTTATACTTAGCGTACAGATGTTTCTGGCATACTGAAAAATTTTCTTCGCACTTTTGGCTCAAGTCAAGAAGGGAAAGTGACAGTTGGCAAAAAATAATGACTGGTAACCTAAACTCCCTTTTATTTCAGAATTATATTAAATGCAATAAAAAATGATAATTTGAACGAATGTTTAGCTTCAAGTGTAAAACACTACTGTTTATCATGCGACTAGATGCTTTTAAGGCCAGGGGACATTGGGTCTAATACAAGTCTTTGTGTTCTCTAATCACAGTGATTTCCCCTAGGAAGAAAATTTAAATGTTCTTTTGTTTTAAATAAGAGTACAAAATTGTTGCTTGAGATGAAAACAAATTCAGATGGTTTCAAGTTTCGACAACCCACTCCTGCTCTTGTTCTTTAATTTGTTCCAACCCAGATAGGCATCTCTGACTGCATAGCACAATAAGACAAGAGGCATAACATGTGACATAGCTGAAATTGGAAATTAAAATTTCTCACTCCTTATTCAACTAAAATGTATGTAAGACCATTGGCAAGAATTTCATTAATAATAATAACAATAATAGTATTACACACTTAATTTTGATTAACAAATGCATACTAAATACAAATATATATAATATATTAGAAAGCCATGTGAGATAGAGTCCAAAAAAATGTCTCACATCTGATCTCCCCTTTGGAATTTCTAATTCACCTATCTCACTCACTCATAGAACGTATATGATTTGTGTCACTGTCAGTAAAATCTTCAAGCAATGGCTTGGAAGATCATGAATGAATATATGAATGATTGAGATTATAAAGAATATAATAATTTTCATCATCGTCGATCAGCAGAAGCTCCACAAGCGAATGTCACTCTCCTCATATAAGTCATACATCATATGTGGATGTGGATTCAAGGCGCCATCGAACATTTGGTCGAAGTTGTTCCATGAGTCCATGCTAAACATTGGTAATTGATCGTTTGATTGATCATAGTAAGTGGGAGTGTAGGACCCCCCAAATGAACCCATCAGCGATGACATGTCGTCGTCGATGAGGTTACTGGACGGCGAGGACGACATCGAGGGAGACGAGACCAAAGATGAGGAAGAAGTAGATTGAGGAGGGGCCGATGGTGGCAAGGCAATGTTTGCGGTGGTGGTAGCGGCATTATTATCAAGAACAAAACTATTGGCAGCGGCTGCAGCCACTCTTTGGATGGATTTGGGGGACATGACTGTCATTTCTTGGGGGATAAAATGTGAGGAGGCAGTGGTGGGGAAGTTGAGGTTGGCTGAGGAGCCCTTGAGGCACAGTAGGGCAGCATCATAGGCTCTCGCTGCAGCCTCAGCAGTAGAATATGAGCCTAACCATATTCTTGTTTTTTGGTTTGGAGCCCTAATCTCTGAAACCCAAGAGCCCCAGCTCCTCATCCTCACTCCCTTAAACTTCTTCTTGCATGCTGAGGAAGAAGAAGAAGAAGAAGAAGATGTCGATGTTGTTTTCGATGATGTCACCTCTGAAGGCAGCTGAAGAATCCTCTGCTCCGTCTTCACCATTGTTACGATGGAATACAGTGCTTTGATTTGTTGATGGAAGATGAAGTTGAAGGTGATTGGTTGTGTCTGTGTTTCTCTTCTCTCAAAGGTAGCTAGCTGCTTCGTTAGTTTCTTGTGCAAAGTGAATGAATGAATGCGATGGAATAGAACTCAAGGTTATGGAGAAATGGTTGCTGCCATTTATAGATGTCGAGCAAGAGGATCTCCCTCTCTCCCTCTAGTCAAAAAAGGAAAACAGTATGGCTCTAAAGTTAATTAATATTATTGAAAATGGATGACAGATATTTTCAAGTTAATATTGTATCCATGAAGTTACTTTCCTATCCCTTTACGGTCAAAGTAGGGTTTGGAGCTTCATATGGCCAAAAATTCACAAATTTAATCAAAAAATATTAGTTTTCCAACTTTCCATGAATGTTGCAAAATTTGATAATGAGTACTCAAAAGATCAAAGTTTACGACATTTTAAATAGATCAACAGACATAAAGCAAGTTTGTTAGGGTTTCAATTTACATTAGGAAATTAATCACTTCTACATTTTATTTTTCTTCTCCCATACACATTTGTGTTTATTTCTAATGTATAATAAATAAACAGACATAAATAAATAAGAATTTGCAAAAAAAACAAAAAACAAAAAACAAAAAAACAAAAACAAAAAGTGTGTCCAAATCATTTTCTAGAAAATTAAGGTTCATCATAAAACTAATTGATAATATAAAAAGTAATCTAATTACTTATAAGCTTCTGTAAGGTCTCTCCTTCAATAAATGTGCGATTCATTATCAACACGCCTTCTTACGTGTGGTAAATTTTTTGAGGCCAACACATGAACAACCAAATGGAGCGACATGAAACATGTGTGGCCATTTAGCTTCACTAAAAATCAATAGATAATATGAAGAATAGCTCAATTATTTATAAGCACACATTGATTCTTTTTGAATCAATGTGAGATTCATTCTTAATTTTTTTCTTAAGGTTAGTCGATGTAAATTTTATAATAATATACTTTTGGTTAAAATTGAAAAATAAAGAAAGATACATTTACAGTTTTAAAGATGCTGGCAGTTGCATAAAAGTAGAAGCAAGAGCAATCTACTGAAGTGTAAAAGTCTTATTTTCCTTGTCAACGAATATTGCAAACTTGGGATCCATATGCTCAAATCAGAAACCAGCATGGAAAGTTTTATTAATTAGTAAAGTAAAATCACTGTTTCTAGGTTTACCAAAAAATACAATTTAAAAAAATCACTGTTTCTAGGTTTACCAAAAAATACAAATTAAAAAAATCACTGTTTCTAGAGAGTTTTGACTTGGACAAGAAGTCACTGCTCCTTTCCCTAGTTGACACCCAGCAAATAAGGCTTAATTAACAAAAAATTACTCAGAAAATGAAACGAAGGCAAGGGGTTATTTGACATCCATGTTAATTACCTAGCATATTATGTTAATCTCCAATATCTAAATCATATATATTATCTAAATCATCATATCTTTATTCGAAAATACTATATTTACCATATTTCTTATACCAAATTTGTACTTTCTTTATAATAAAGATGAAACTTACGTGTGTTAGTGGACTCTATCTTTATTAAAAATGTAGTACAAATATGGTAAAAATGTGGTAAGTGTTTGTTACTCATCTTTATTAGAGAGGTAAATAAAATGTAGGTGATGCAATAATGTATGAGTAGAGATCAGAGAGAGACTCTTTAGAGGCAATTTCCAGGATATATATGTGTGTGTGTGTGTGTGTAATTTGGGATGTGAAACACAAAATATAAAAAAATATATATATACTTTTTTAATGTTTGAGACCAAAGAAAAATGAAAGAATCAGAAATTGTGCATATAAATACATATTATATATGTTGTTTGAAAAATAAGTTAACACAACACTCAAAAACGTACGCGCAGTCTGTAAGCCATTGCGTTTGCATAGGTAATATACACAGCTGTATATTGCTGTCTCGCAGAGTCCTAGCTAAAACCGCGTCTCATCGTCCTTTCTCCTTCTCATGCAAAAATATGAAATTCTACTCTCCCTCTCCCTCTCCCTCTCCATCTCCTCTTTCTCTCACTAGAAATAAGTGCAAAGTGGAATTTTTTTTAATAGTTTAAGGACTCAACTGTTTGATGGGAAATTTGGTTGCTTACGCCTGCATGTCTTGACTTGCTCTGTCCGTTTTGTTCGATGCCCTAAATTTTGAGTTATTCGATCGATGTGGGAGGAGAGATGGATTCTCTAGGGTACGGCCGCAGACCAAAACATATATAGAATCAACTGCTATACTTTTTTACTTTGGGCGGATTAAAAGAAGCCAGCATGCAAACACATGAACGGAGTAGTAGCGGGGATGTGGTAGCCAACACACGTTATTTTGTGAGAAATTTTTTATTGTGTTCAGAATAAAAATAGTACATCAAGCGTTATTATATAAATAGTGAAAAATTTTACCTTTTAAATTGTTAAATTTTTAATATAACTATCTCACTACTTGTATAACAATACGTGATATATTATTTCGTATTCTAGACATATTAAAAAAAACTCTTTTATTTTGGAGACAATGTTGGAGTTGGATTGGATGGCCTCAGTTTTCACTTTCAACTTTTTAAAGCTGCATGCTTTGAAAGGCCAAGACCTAGAAGGAAAGGGGTATTTGCCCCTTTGACAAGTCAGTACATGCTACACGCAGTGACTTTTTAATTTAAATTTCCGAACCGGGATTCTCTCCCTTCTCTTTCTATCCATTTCCATCTCTTCTTCTCACACTTTATATTTTATCTTTTATTTTTATTATAAAAAATTAATATAAAATATTGACGTGGCTTAACTTCCCAACAAAAATTGCTGCCATTGTAAGGTCATGACCACCAATGCCTTCTAAATTTGAAACGTTGTTTTACCGAGGTATGATTATGTTATGTTTGTTGGACTTTTGATAGAGAAATTTTTGGGTGATAAACGATATGTGACATGCCGGAGTGATGTCATAGAAACTTAAATCTTGAATGGTAATTTTTGAAGCTTTTTGTATGCGTGATGGATATTTTGTGTGAACTTGTACCATAATTTGCATGTCGATGGGATATGGTCAAAACTCTAAATCTAATTGGTAAATCTTCAAGACACATGTGTTATAGTTTGTCTAGACTTGAAACATGACGTGACATGCTGAAAAATTTAAATAATAAACATTTTAGTACACATGCTATAGTTTAATTATGTGATATGTAACATCATGTGGTACCACACATGTTCACGTAGCAAGGTTGAAACCCTAAATTTGAATGGTAAATGTTTCAATACACATGTTACAATTTGTGTGAATTTGTAGAATCGTATCGTACATGTTGGGCGGGGCATCATTGAATCCCTAAATTTGTAACAACACGTAATACATACTGGTGTGGAATATGTGTGAATTTATAACAACACGTGATATATATTGGCGTGTCATGGCTGAATCGTGTAACATCATGTGATACATGTTGGACATCATCATGTGATACATGTTGGAGTGGCATAGATGAATCCGTAAATATGAATGGTAAATCTTTCAGTACATGCGCTATAATTTGTGTGGATTTGTCAAATCATGTGGTAAACTTTAACGAAAAGCTATTGGTACTGTTCACTTTAATGAAAAACCATATTTTTACACTAAAAAGTCAATCATGGTACTATTAACTTTACCCTTTATTTTGTTCTTATCGTTAAAACTCAAAGTTTTCAAACCATTTTCATTAGTTTTCCTAAATATCTATTGATGGTTGAAACCCCAAGTCTGAATGGTAAATATTTCAACATACGTTTATAGTAGGTGTAAATATGTAAATCGCGTGGTACATGTTCGAGTCGCAAGAGGTTGAATCCCCAAATCTGCATGGAAATCTTTCATTACAATGCTATAATTTGTGTAGATTTGTATCACCATGTCGTAAATGCCTACGTGAAATGGTTGAAACTCCAAGTCAAAATGGTAAACATTTCAACACACATGCTATAGTTTGTGTGAATTTGTAAAATCAAGTGGTACATGTTGACGTGTAATGGATGAAACGTTAAATCTAAATAGTAAATCTTTCGGTGCATGTGCTATAGTTTGTATGAATCTATAACACCACACGATACATATTGACATGACATTACTAAAATCTCTAAATCTAAATAATAAATCTTTCGATACATGTACAATTTGTGTGGACTCATAACACCACATGGCACAATCACGCATATAATAACGTTTTTAAACTGTGATCACACATTGAAATAAGAATATGGACATTCCAGAACGTTTCCGCCATGTACAAAATAATGAAGGTCAAAACATAGTATTGTAATGGAAAAATCTGCAGTCTAAATCAGGCTGCAACTAGTATAATTAGATGAGGGTGCTATCAACTGGCCATGTAACCATTAACGATATGTATAGTTGGTTACGAGACTATTGTGAACAGGGTTTTTTGAACTTTTCAAATAACCACCCTGCCCATGTGATCTGCTTGAACAACGCGTATATATATATACATACACACACATATATACATATATACACTTATCTTCTCATTTGCGGAAAGCAGAAAGTTATTGATTGCCAATTTATTCTTCTGAAACTATTTTAATCCGGATTCCCTTCATATTAATCAGAGCTAGGGCTTTGTTGAGCAGAGAATTGGTTTCTCCAACGATAATGCATGTGTGTGAAAAGAATACTGTCGTCAATACGTACGAGAGTCATCTCCCTCCTCCCTCCTCCCTCCTGCCTTCCTTCCTACCTTCCTTCAACTTTTGAGTCCTACACACACTTAACATTAAAGGCATCTCCTTTTCTTAAACGGAGTAGCATTTTATTCATCGGTTTTTTATAATATATATATATATATATATATATTTATATATTATTTGGATCATATGCTATCAGGTGTGACCGACAGTATGATTCTCCATGAATAATGTGACAATATTTAATGACCACTATCACATGCCAATCCTACATTTGCTATCTCATCTTTCTTTATTTTCTATTAATTTGTCAGAAATCCTGGAAAAACGAAACAAGACTTGTTCTTTCTTGGAAATTATGAAGGCATTTTCGTTTTTATAATAATTGGTTAATTTGGATGAATTATACTCCACATTGTTTACCTAATACTTAAGTAAATGTCAAAGGTAA